ACTACAACACTGTCTACATAAATCACTAGGTTCAGTATTTTGTAGATCATCAGCATATACAATGTCTACTACAACACTGTCTACATAAATCATTAGGTTCAGTATCTTGTAGATCATCAGCATATACAATATCTACTACAACACTGTCTACATAAATCATTAGGTTCAGTATCTTGTAGATCATCAGCATATACAATGTCTACTACAACACTGTCTACATGAATCATTAGGTTCACTATTTTGAAGATCATCAGCATATATAATGTCTACTACAACACTGTCTACATAAATCATTAGGTTCAGCATCTTGTAGATCATCAACATATACAATATCTACTACAACACTGTCTACATGAATCATTAGGTTCAGTATCTTGTAGATCATCAGCATATACAATGTCTACTACAACACTGTCTACATAAATCACTAGGTTCAGTATTTTGTAGATCATCAGCATATACAGTGTCTACTACAACACTGTCTACATGAATCACTAGGTTCAGTATCTTGTAGATCATCAGTATATACAGTGTCTGCTAACTAGGAAACTACATTATTAACAACATTACAAAAAGATTGTTAAGTGTGCTTGATAAAGTTATGTTTTTAATAGATCAATTTGCAGAATAAACGTTTTCTTTGTTTGATTCTTCACTTTGTTATACATGTTCATTATGTAAAAAAGTTTTATTTCACAATGTGGGTTGTGTCATTTGTTATTGGTTGAACTCTGAGTTTTACTTTCTTTTATAGGGATCATTAGTTTCGTCATTAGTCTCTGGATCTTAGAATGAATGGTAAGTAGAGGTCTTGAAAAGGAAACTGGTGTTAATTGTAAATATTAAAGTCATGATAAGTTACAGAAGATCAGAAACTTGGATCCAAGATTGCAAATGTTTTCCCTCTATATGTCGTACAGAGCCTAAAGCCTATTTTTGGTAGGTACAACATATACAACCCAAAACCTACCATAGTGGTTAGAAACATGTACAACTTCATAATTTATCCACAGTGGTCATCAACATATCACCATACTCTACTGCCTCAAACATGATTAGTGGATACAGGTGGTGTATAACAGTTATCAACATTTGATACTGTACCTCACTGGTTTGTTAGTAAGGACGGGACGTATTGTGTTGTAAAGACCCTTTGTGTATGAAACTTATAATCAGCATTTGATACTGTACCTCGCTGGTTTGTTAGTGAGGACAGGACATTATAAGTTATAAAATCGTTTATTTTTTTTGTGATATTTAGTTTATAGAAGTGAAACTCACTTTTTGTTTCAACCGTAATGTTTTTGCAAGTTACTCTCGATATAAAAAAAAAAAATTAAAACATATGATAGAGTAGAAGTAAGGGAAGTTACAAATTGTATAATAAGAGTTTGTTTGTTCCAGGAATATAGAAGCAACGTTTATAGGAGCTTGCACTTGGATCAGAAGAAAACTTGTATATTTTTTTCTCTGTCATGAAAAGCTGAAGTTACATAAACCTTTCTGGTTTGCACTTGCTACAGTTGAACTTCAAACACTAATTCAGCAAAATTTAGATATCAAATGATAATATGTACTTATACTTTCTGAAGTGAAAATTCAGTTCCTCATCATCATCAATAAAATCTCACCAGTAGAATTTCTTAGCTTTTATTTCCAGACAGTTTGTTGGTCAGTATATGGCATCAACCTGAAACCTTGAAATTTCTTTGTATATCTAAAGAGAATCCTTTCAAGAAATGTGAGTGGAAAATAAACCCATCCATGTCATCAGTTATTTAAGTTATTTGTTTTATTGTCTAAATTGAGTTTTAGATGTGTGTTGCTTAACATCCAGAGTCTCTTAAAAACATCCCAATGTTTAAAGATTATCTAGTTTCATATGAAAGTCATGTTGATTCTTAATAATAATTGAACTAGATGTAAAACTTTTCTTCCATTCTACTGTTTTTAGAAATATATATATTTATTGTATCAATCATAATGTTATTGAAGATGTAAAGAGTAAAATGTAAGACAAAGAAATATCTTTCTTCAGCCCAGCTTGGCTGACAGTTGGTTATGTAGTAAGTATAACTGGTGTGTACATCCACACTTCTTACGTGAAGGGTTAAACGCGTCCATCTTTCTTCAGCCCAGCTTGGCTGACAGTAAGTTCTGTTGGTAAGTTTAACTGGTGTGTACATTCACACTTGATAAGAGAAGTGTTAAACATGTCCAATTTTCCTGTTAGGTTTAGATTATTAGTTGTTCTAAGCTTTTACTTGCTATGTTGGTTGGAAATTGAATAATTCTTTAAACAGGATTTAAAATTGTTGTTTGTTTCAATAAACTGAGATTGTTGTTTAATATTAAAATAAATGGTACAAGATCTGAATTAAACTTATGAATGTTGTATGTGTGCAGTTATCATATAGAAACTTTTGTTAAGAAGACTAACCATGGTGTGATATCCGATTTTTGTAGTTGTTTTTTTATGAAATAAAGAAACAAACTATTGTTCTAACGTATCTATGGTGTTTGACACCATCCATGAGTCTGTTTTATATTTACATAAAGATGTATATGCAGTTATAATCCAGAGAAGGTTTAAAATGTTTTAGGGTTTCCTATCATAATATCTGGCATACCTGTGTAATCGATTATTCGAAAGCGCTCGAGTTTTAGGTCTTATTTTAAGTCTATTACACTTTATATGTGATCCTTTGTGCTAACTCTTTTATCAAAACCTAAGTAAGTTAGTAAGTAACTTTGTTTGCTTGTTTGATTTTGATTTCTCGCAATGCTACACAAGGGCCATCTACGCTAACTATCTTTAATTTGGAAGTGATAGACCAGATGGAAGACATGCAGTCAACACTACCTACAGTCAATTCTTGGGCTACTCTTTACCAACGATAGATTGAAAAGTCGAGGATGTTCGTGGACGGGATTTAATCAGGCGACCCGCAGATTGCGAGCCGAGTGCCACTGGATTTTACCAAGCCACTCAGTAAACTAATAGTTCATATTACGAATCAATGAAAGAAACTTTCTAAGAAACATTACTGCAAACAAAGAAAAACTGACAATTTTATAGAAACTCCAGGAATTGGGCATGAACCCAGGACCTTTGGCTAACAGCACCAATGCTTTATCCAATTGAGCTATCCAAAAATACAATTCCCCCTATCCCTCTCCCCTCACTCATAACTATGAAAATGAAACTTCATACTATTTTGTGTTGTTATGATCAGGCAATTAGTGGGTTGATTTACCACCGCCATAAAGAATAAAGAAGTATAACTAAACTCATATATATATATATAAGTATTACGAAATGAAGCTCATATTATCATTCAATGAAAGTACACTTTTGAAAAAACATTATTGTAACAGCTATATTTAAAGATAAACTATTACTAAAATATCGCATAAAAATGTCTAAACCTAAATGTTGTCTGATAAGTACAGAAAAATTTCTAATTACTTTTTAATAATGAAAACAACAGTAAAATGTACTGAAGTCAAAATAGATTATATCAACGGAAAAAACAGCTTATTTAGTACTTTAGATACCTTACAACATTTAGAATTTTTGTTTGAGTTAATTATCCAAAATGAGTTAATGCACTTTTAAGCCATTTGATAAAATTTATCTAATAGTTTATATATAGCTTAACAGTAGTGTAAGTATAATTTTAGTCTCATAATATGAAACTAACATAAAAATTAAGATGATTTTCAGAAATTTCTCACATAGAAATGTTTGTTACTGGAGCACCCTCAGTGGCACAGCGGAATGTCTGCGGACTTACAACGCTAGAAACCGGGTTTCGATACTCGTGGTGGGCAGAACACAGATAGCCCATTGTGTAGCTTTGTGCTTAACTTCAAACAAAGTTAATACTGGAGAGCTTTCGATCCCCTTCATTAGACTGTAGAACACTTTTGATAGTTTCTAAAAAAGTGTTCTATGTTATGATGAAGGCTTCAGCACAGAAATCGAAAGCTGTTCATTAATAAGCATTCTAACATTAGAAATACCTGAACATTTTAAAATAGAACCACATTAATAAGCATTCTAACATTAGAAATACCTGAACATTTTTAAACAGAACCACATTAATAAGCATTCTAACATTGGAAATACCCGAACATTTTTAAACAGAACCACATTAATAAGCATTCTAACATTGGAAATACCCGAACATTTTTAAACAGAACCACATTAATAAGCATTCTAACATTAGAAATACCTGAACATTTTTAAACAGAACCACATTAATAAGCATTCTAACGTTAGAAATACCTGAACATTTTTAAACAGAACCACATTAATAACCATTCTAACATTAGAAATACCTGAACATTTTTAGACAGAACCACATTAATAAGCATTCTAACATTGGAAATACCTGAACATTTTTAGACAGAACCACATTAATAAGCATTCTAACATTAGAAATACCTGAACATTTTTAAACAGAACCACATTAATAAGCATTCTAACATTAGAAATACCTGAACATTTTTAAACAGAACCACATTAATAAGCATTCTAACATTAGAAATACCTGAACATTTTTAAACAGAACCACATTAATAAGCATTCTAACATTGGAAATACCTCAACATTTTTAAACAGAACCACATTAATAAGCATTCTAACATTGGAAATACCTGAACATTTTTAAACAGAACCATGTTTCGTGACTAGCTTCAAATAACTAGTGGTAAATATGTTGTTACATGAATTTTTATAATTTTGAGGCATAACATGCATAAATTATAATTTCGGTAATTTTGTAAAGTTTTTATTTTTGACGTTATTATGAAATTACATTATCATTTGAGTTTGAAAGGCTTCTCCGTAATTGATTTCTGGGTAAGTACTACAGAGGGTTGAGTAAATTATACAAAAATTATATTGATACTCAAATCAACATGTCACATGACAACTGCAGCCAATATAAAGTCTGAGTGGAACGTAATATATCAGAACTGCATTTTGACATAGTTTGGTGTTTAATAGGCAGTGTGATTTCACCAAAAATGGATTGCTTTGGGGAAATATATATAACAACCCTTTCCGACGCAAAATATTCATACACTCAGATCATAAAGATGTGTTTAAATATGAGATTTATAATTTTCAAGACAGGAATATCATTTGTACTTAATGGCATTAGAAAACAAATGAATGAGGATCAACTTGGGAAACTAGGACCATCCAAAAAAAGACTTGCAACAAGTTGTATCTCAGCCGTGGTAATCAAATTGCCGAGTCTTGCAATAAAAATCTACGAGCATAAAGTTCAATAGCAAAAGCCATATACCCGTATTAGGCAATAGTGCGCAATATAATCAAGAATCATTTCCATCTAGAAAAGTGATACAACTCACATGTACACAAGTTGCTTCTATGACACCTCAAGCAAGTAGCTTTATAACGAAACGGGTAATCAACGATAAAGTTTTCTTTGTTGGAAGAGTTTCTCAAAGTTTTCTTGATAATGTTTTGAAAAAGTTTTAACTTTATTTACTAAAGAATTACTAAAAATATTTTTCTATAGTTGTTGACAGTATTAATTTAAAATTGTTAGGGCACCTTTCAAACATGTGCTGGTTATATTTCTTTAGAATTTATCAACAATATTTATTTATATTTCTTATAAGTGTTTCTTGAGGTTTTGTGGATAGTCTTTCTCAGGGAATCTTTAGTACATTTCTCTTAGGAATTTGTTTATAAAGATTATATATACACTTTTTCTTTCTTTTTGGGCTTTGAAACAAAGTTTCAGGTACATTGGCTTAAAAAAATCTCTCCAACTAAGACTTTCACAACCAGTCATGTTGTTTAATGAACTTGACCTGCTAAGTATCAAACTATTTCACTGCCCCCCTCCCCAGTGGTACAGCAGTATATCTGCGGACTTACAACGCTAAAAACCGGATTTCGATACCCGTGGTGGGCAGAGCACAGATAGCCCATCGTGTAGCTTTGTGCTTAATTCCAAAAACAAACAAAGAAACGAAAGGATCAACGTAAATCTGAAATACAGCTATTTTGTATTTAATACTAGATTACTTGTAATACACATATTACCTAAAATTACTCCAGAATAGCCCTTTCTCGCACCATACTCTCTCTCTCTCTATCTAACTTTTACAATAATACTAAGTTTTTGTCTGTTCTGAAAATACATATCTAAATACACGCGCGCGCGCACTTATTTCAACGGATGTAAATATATTTTAGTAGACATTTTGAACAATAACATATTAAAAGATTACCAAAGTTATTCAAAAGGTTTAACGTTAGGTAGTAGAATAATATTATAAGTTTATTTAATGATAGTATTAAGTATGGTTACGTTTAATCCTAACTAAACTTAAGCAAAAAACGTACACAAATTACAGTATTAATTTATTTCTTTATCGATTATAGGCCGTATTTAATAAAGACTTAACTAATGTTAGGCCTAAGACAAGTGGACTTATATATTTCGGTGTTTGCGATAAGAATTATTTTGTATTATTCTAGAAATCTTCTATTTAAAGAAGTACTATTGTAATAAATATACTGATTTGACCGCAAAAGTCTATAGAAACACAGTAGAAAAAAAAGCAAGCAAATATATAAGAATATGTGAAACTGATTATTCTTAGACGTTTATATTTAGTTTTATTTACCTTTGTAATCATCTTGTCCTCGCAAAAATCCTGAATATTATAGTGATTATGTTATCACTGAGTTATTGTGGCTGATCCTTTAGCTCAGCTTTCAGCAAACTGAATATTATATACACACACACACACATATATATATATACATATATTAAAACAATTAAACTGAAAATTAATTATACCTTTTATCAATTATTTCAAAATTATTTTTTAAAAATTTGCACTAGTTCTCGCACAAAGACAGATTGTTAAATGATGAAGCCATATTTAATTCTTAATATCTGAAGCAATTGTTTCATAAGTATAGCCATCCATCATTTCTCTGAATATAATTTATGTAGAAGCCATAACATGAAGTGTTATTAAGTATACGGTAGATGTATCGATTGAGTCTGCTTGCTTCTGTGTTAAGGAGCATGGTAATTTACTTCAACGATGGAGCTGTAATCCGTTAATGACTTAATTCTGATAAAGTAACCGTTTGTTATTATTGAAGAACTTGACACAGATTCCTATAAGATTGTTTAAGGATGAAAATATCCATAAAACTCTAAGGATATTTGTTTCAATTTTTTTGCTATCATTCGCTATATTTATTGTATATCATGATTCTAAAGCAGAATGTTTATTAGTCCCAGGTTAGGATTAAAAAAAGTAAATTAATCGTATTTTGTTTTGTCAAAAAGCATAATGATTTTTAACCCTAGGTTAGGATTAAGAAAAATATATGGATCTTATTTTGTTTTGTTGCCTACTTGCTCTGTCTTTGCGCTTATTTGAATATCTATGTATTTGTCTGTTTCCATTTGTCTAGAGACTGTTTATGCTCTAGCGTCATTTT